GGGAAGATACTAAATAAATGTTGAAGATATCCCAGCATTCGGTGTAGGATTCAACTTATATTGTTGATGTAAATACATATATTTTATGACACCCCAATCCTCTAAAAAAATTTAATTAAAGTAGATAATGAAAACGAATAAAATATAAATTTGGTGCAGGGGAAGAGATTAAAGGCTCTAAGATATCCCAACATTTGGTGTATGATTCAGATTTTATGGCTAATGCAAATATTTATTTTCTATGATGCCCTCATAAAAAGGCTCTAAGAATGCAGAATTGCTTTGACTAGATTTTTTATTCTTTGGTGCCTGCATAATGCCTTATGTGAGTGATGTGTTTAATATAGTTTGATACGATGATTTTATATTTCTGTATATAAAATTTGATAAAAAGAAAGGTTATGGACTCACCTGACCCATAGGATTTTGGAGGGTTTTTAGTCATGTGAGTTTTTTTAATAAATAATTTTTTGTTTACAATCCACATAAGGTCAAATCTTATTAAAGGAGCTCACTACGTATAAGTCAATTCAATCAAATTATAATACTTGATGAATTATACTTTTAATTTGAAAAAAAAAGTATATTAACTGTTAATTATAACTTTTGAGTCAATTATAAATGTTCAATTTGACAAAAAAAATATTTACAAACTCTGAAATGATTTAAATATTTTTTATTGATTAAAAGAAAGTTTTAACTTATTAATATGTTAATTTCTTCTTTCTTCACTACTTTGAAAAACATTTTAATAGATTACTTTTTTAATCTATTCAAACTTAACAAACTTATTTAACCTTCTCCTAAACTAGTTCCAACTAATTTCAACACTAAAAATTAGCAAAATCAACGAATGCACAGATGTTTACACAAGATTACAGCTTTAAATCTAAAATATACCATTTCAATTTTCTAGCTACCAGTAACAGTCGGTGCAATGTTTTCAAAAAAGTTTTGTATAAATTTTTCAAAAATGTTGAGATGTAAATGTAATTAAAAAAGAAGAGTAACTATCTAATATAATACCAAGAAGTAAATTAATAAGTATATCAATTTCATACCATTGTTATCAATTCTGAAGACAAATGAATTATTATAATTTTGAAAATTAAATTATTAATTTAGTAAAGAGTTTTTAGTTTAAAAACAAAAATATATATAACATAGTCTGAGGGATGAAAAAAATTCTTGTTTGATAAAGAGTTTTAAAAAAAGTATACATTGACATTTTTAAAGAAAACAAGTGATTTGTAATTACATTTTAATAATATAAATTAGTACTTTAAGATAAAAATTAAAAGCATGCATAATTAGGTTATTAATATATTAATTATTAAGTAATTGTTTTCTTTTCGATGTGTGTTATTTCTCTTACTGTTATTTATTTATTTTTTAGTCTCCTTTTTTATTATGATTTTCTTATGCTCGTCCCACACCCTCCGTGACAGCATTTTGTGGATTCTGTGTACACGCCGTTCTTCGCCATTTTCACGTTGGTCCTTCGTATGCAGTAGTTGGGTTTCAGCTTCGTACACCAACAAAAAGCGCATTTTTAGAACGAACGAAACTAACACTGCTGCAACAAAACCTAAGCACCCAACAAGTAAACTCGTATTTTTCTTCCTTGTTGCAGAGCTTAGATGCGCGCCCCCGCCGGAAGAAACCTATGCACTCTCGCCGCCCTCGTTCGCTCTCGGTTAATCGGCAAACCCAACACCAGTGTTGAATCCTTTATAGCACCTTCTCCTGAATTCAAAGTCGGTTTTGGTTCTGAACTGCAACATTCCTTAGAACACGACCTCGCTGGTGACTTTTCCCTAGGTACCTTGTCAAGTTTCATTTTTTATGCCTGCCCTTATTTTCATCTGTGTTAAGTTTCATAGAGGAGTCGTATTGCGTTAATGAGTTTTGTGTTTTTGGAGCTAAAAAAGTATTGGGATTTGTGGTAGTGAATGCGTTGGTTTCAGTTGTTTTGTTTCTTGGGGGTTACTTTGGTGTGCTGTTGGGGTATTTGGGTGTGTAATGGAGTTGTTTTCCAATATTTTGGTGCAGGGGATTTGGTCGGCGAAGATGAGGGTACTGGGCAGATATCTGCTTTACTGTGCTGTAAGTGTTTGTTGAAATTACTGAGAGAATACTGGTCATGTGTTTTACTTTGGATGACGTGGTTACTTAGAGAATTGAAATGACTTTTGCTCATGTTTTTGTTTGTATCAATGTTGGGCATTTGCTGTTTTTTCCTTTGCAGCTAAACAGGACAAGGGGTCTGGTTACGAGGAAGTCGACCAGGAAGAAAAAAGGAAAATTGCGTTAGAAATACCATGGATAGCAGACCTGTTTCATGGTAATCTATCGGTCAAACGAAAGGAGGTAGTGCGTGAGCGGAAGCATAAGTGGATTTTTAAATACTCTAGTAATGACCGTTTCAACAGGTTAATTAAATTGTGTGCACATAGGCTAGGAGCAACAAAAACAGTTAATATGTTTAGTCACTTGGGTCGAAAAACAGGCGTAAAGGAGTACAATGCATTGATAAAAATGTGCATAGAGAAGGCTAGGGCGACTGATGATGAATACATAGCTGTAAATGAGATGAGTAAGGCTTTTCACCTTTTCAAATCAATGAGGGATTTTGGATGTCCGCTGGAAGAGCAAACATATGGTCCACTTCTCTGGTATCTAATTGATATGGGTCTGGTTCAAGAATTTCAACTTTTCTCTGATGTTATCAAAGCTGAGAATCCTCGTTCAGCTTCACGATTGGGTTACTATGAAATGTTGTTGTGGTTAAGAGTTGACAATGAAGAAATGATCCGGGACATTTGCGAGTTTATTATAGTTGATGATAGAGATTCAGCCTTACGAGGTTGGTTAATCAATTTTCATGATTTTTTTTATCCGATTTTGAACATCCACTGCAGGATTTTAAAAACAAGTTTTAAGAAATTTATGAGTTGCTTTATTTTTTTCATGCATGCTTTGGTTGATAAAGAGAAGAGAAATATGATGGATGAAAATTGTTTGAGATATGATTTCATTATGTTAGAGATACACGATTTAATTATATTAAATAGGGAGATATGATATTTGATAGGGAAATATCTTACCAAATATTTCCCATTATTAGATATTTATTTCATTTTTTAGTATTATGTCTTTTCTTCGTTATTGATAGATACTAGAAATAAGGAAGCACACAATAGCTGAATAGTCACTTTATTATCAAAGAAAAACAGAGTGCATATCCCAGAAAGAGAATACAGATCTGTAACAGCACAAAAAAAGTATTTCTAGACAGTTAGAGAGTGTCTAGTCTCTCCCAATTCCCAGCCAATTCCAGCTCCCCCTTCTCCCCACTCTCTTTCCACTCCTTATACCCCAAACAACATAATCACTCATTTCCTACTGTGCCAGCTCAGCAGTTTGTTATATAGAAAGATTCTTCTCATTCTCTCTCTGACCATTTTGATCCCCTACTTTGCCCTTCCTTCTTTGTCTAACATACACCTTAGATATTTTGGGTTTGGGCCTAACTATTTCCGGGTTCCTATCAGTTATAAAGAGGAATACTCATATGTACACATGACACTAAATTCATCTTATGGTTTTTCAATTTGTCTTCTCAACATGGTACCAGAGCAGTACCATCCTTGGGTTTTGTTTTGTCACTAATAATTTGAATATGGTATCTAGACTCTCTTCAGAACTGTTTGGCTGTTGAACCCATTGTCTCTTTCCAAGTTTGCTTACTTTACTCTTTTTTAAAGCAAGTTGTAAGAAATTTATGAATGCCAACCTCGGTGGTTGGACATCTAAACTCCGACCAACAGCTGTCCAACTGCTGCACTGCTCTAGGCACATGTCTCAAGTGCCATCTTTTGGTGGGCAGAATCTTCTTAGACTACCACGGTTTGACTTGTTGGAGCATTTTGGGCCCATTTCTGCCCTTTGTTCTTCATTCCGGGAGCATTTGGTACGACTTCTAGTGTTAATCACAGTTTTCCTCACTTGAAACCCTAGGCTTCTTTGTTGCATTTCTGGACTGTCCTCCTGCCTCTACCTTGCTCCTCATGTCTTTAGGGACTATCTCCTCTGCCATAATTTTTAATTGTTAAAAAAGAGGCCATGGAACTAGAGAACAGCGTTCTTGCAGTAGAAGGTGTCCTCAATGCACATATTGTAAATGAATGGATCACATCCAAGAAAATTGTTACTCTTTATGTGTCTTCATTGACTAGGTAGCCAACATTCCAAATTTGAAGTTTCTGAGCTAAAGTTCTCTAATGTAAAGTCGGGCAGCCAAGCAAAATCTTTGAACCAATTGGATAAGGGAAAAGATGCATGACTAAGACCCATATCAACAAGACCAACTTGTTTCCATCCCCTAAACCAAAAAAAGTAAAAGCAATAGGGACAACAATGGTGCCTTTTATAAGGCATTCTTGTTCTTGCTACCAGGGTATACTAAGTGACATGCTTTAAATGATAACTGCTTTGGGAATGTATGTTTGATGCCTGTGTTACAAGCAATGGTTTTTTCTTACTTCAAGCCATGTTGGAAGCAGTAAGAAAATTGAATTTGCACTGAATCGTTTTCCCAGTATGTTGATGGATCCACCTACCTACAATAGAAGTGATTGTGCTAAGCATAATTATTTGAAAATTTGTGCATCTAGTATGATAACATTTATTAAAAACAATTCTTGTTTATTTTTATGTCCACGTGCCATTACCATTTTTGTTTCACGGGTAGAGTAAACTCAGCTAAAATTAACTGTTGCAGTAAGTTACTTGATGGCTCTTTGTGAAAGTGATAAGACAATGCAACTTTTGGATGTGGTGAAGAATGTAGACATCATCAAGCTTTTATCTGCAGAATGTATTGTAAATATATTCCGATCATTAGGCAGGCTCCAACAGCAATCTGTTGCAGATGACATACTTTTGGATTTGAGAACACGTGGTATGATTATGATCTTATTTTCTTCTTAACTATTGTTGTTAGTAGGATATTAAATGTTTTACCAGAAGTTGTTAGAAGCTATTAGAAGGTTCTGGAGATTTTTTTGTTATTATTACTTTATGGTTAGAGTTTTCTATATCTCAATGCTGATGTACTATTTTAGATGAATTTTCATTTTTTCATATTAATCCTTTCAAGATGGTATTAGAGCTCCCAATCTTGGGAGTCGTGCTTCAACATTTCTTCTTTACCTCTTAGATATGGTTCCTTTTAAATTGTGGTTCTGCTGCTGGCAGTCACACCGAGTTTGCTGTCCACTGGAGCTGCTATTGACTTTTGCTAGAGTTGTCCCCAGGCCTACTTCAGAGCTGTTGTTGGACCTTTGTCGAAACTGTCATTGGACCTTTGTTAGAGTGGTTGTCGGAGCTTTAGTCATTTCCATTGTCAGAATTGTCACTGTCATTGCAGCAGCCACTATTGATGCCTTTTGTTTTATTATTCTATTTTAGTTGAAGGGGGCTAACGAATCCCTATTGTTACTTAAGCATGACAACTCCACTAAATAATGTTGATCTTCTAACTTTAGAGGTACATGCACTAAGTGTTGATACTGAAATTCTGAAATCTCTCATGCTCTATCAGTAAGTCACCTTCTTTCTAGTACTTGCTCTCTAGCCATGACCGGTAAGAACTCCAATTCCTCTTTTAATATTTCTAAAACTTTATGTAAGTACTCTTGGGTTCTAGACTTTGATGTGACAAGTCATATAATCCTTCATTCATCTCTTTTAACATCATATGTTTCTCTTTTTAGTAACGGCATTATTGTTGCTAATGAGACTTGTATCTCAGTAATTGGACATGGTAATGTTTACCATTCCTCAACATTAAAGGTGTTCTTTATGCTCCAAAACTTTCAATAATCTTATTTCTATTTATAAACTGACCAATGACCTAAAGTGTTTTGTAACCTTCTTTTCCACAATTTATGTTTTCTAGGATGTTGACATAGGGAGGATGACTGGAACTGTTAAAGAAAGTATCAGTACACAAACAAGTATCACTTGTCTCCAATCTTGCACCACCTTTGCGTTGTCTAGGGCATCATCCTTTTCTATTCTAATGTCCATGTTTCCTTCCTTATTTTCCAAAGAGTCTATTAAGTCACTTAAATGTGATGTATGTTAACTTGCAAAACATCATCGCGCCATATCTTCCTAGTAATACAAAGAATGTCCATCCTTTTGATTTAGTTCATTGTGACGTTTGGGGGCCTACATTAAAACTATAGTAAATCTAATGCTAAGTGGTTTGTCATGTTTATTGATGGTTGTACCCATGTTATATGGATTTTTCTCATGAAAGGAAAATATGAAGTATTTACTCTATTTGTTATATTCTTCCATATAGTAAAAACACAATTTAGGAAGTCAATTAAATGTGTACGTTCTGGTAATGGGAGGGAATGTGTAACCCATGAGATGTTTAAATTCCTTTCTGAAAATTGTGTTGTTCCTGCATTTACATGTGTGAATACACCATAACAAAATGACATTGCTGAAAGAAAAAATAAGCATCTTCTTGAGGTGGCATGGACATATTTTTCAAATGAGTGTCCGTAAATCATAATAGGGAGAAACTATCTTCACTGGTGCCTGTTTTATTAATCGATTAATCTCTTGAGTCATAGATGGTCTGACTCCATTGAATCTTGTATGAAAGGGATGTGTTTGTCCATATTCATAGTCAGTTCTTTGGAAAATTAGATCCTAGAGCTATTAAATGCATATTTGTTTTGGTTATGCATCTAATAAAAAGGGATATCATTGTTACCGTTCGAGTTGAAAGATTTTTACCTCCATGAATGTTACTTTTGATGAAACTAAGACTTTTTTTATACATTGTCAACTTTAGGGTGAAAGTTCTTTTGAAGTTGAGTCTTTTGAATCTCTGAGTTATTTTGTCCCTTTCATACAAGAATCGTCTCATACTAATACTACTCTTGGTATTTGTTATACTTCTCCTGGAAAATCTTGTATGGATATCTCTAAAGCTACTTCTTTTAAGGGCGTCTTTGTTCTCGAGTTAGGATCAACTTCAGAAATTAGTCGTGTTGCTGAAGTTACTCTTAACAAGGACATCTTTGTTCTTGAGTCAGAGACAATTCCATAAATTAGTCGTCGAGATAATTTCTCTCATAATATTGGAGCAGACAAAAGTAACCTAACCTGATCTAAGAACAACAATAATCATCTAACTGGGGGTAAGTGATCCTTATTCTAAAACCCTTGAACCTCGTGAAAATTCCTTGACTATTGATTGTGAACTTGACCTTGATGACTTGCCCATTGCTTTTAGAAAAGGACCTCGGTCTTGTACCAAGTATCCTTTTTCTGATTTTGTGACTACTAAAACCATATCTATGCAGCACCCGGGTTTCCTCTGTCATTGATGCAATTATAGTCCCTACGTCAGTTCAAGAAGCATTGAAGGATGAGGATTGGGTTCAAGCCATGAATGAAGGGATGAATGTCTTTGAAAAGAACCAAGCATGGGAAATTGTTGACAAGCCATTGGATGAAAGGGCAATAGGATGTATATGGCTTTATAATGTAAAGTATAAATCTGATGGCACATTAGAACGTTACACTTAATAAAGATACACAAGAATATTAGAATGAATTTGAGAGAGTGACTTCCCTTCTCTTAGGATTTCATATTTATAATAACTCTAAGCCACCACATACAATGAGAGGGAAAATTAGGGAATTTGAAGAGAGACACCTAGGAACTAGTTTTGGCACATAGCACCTTACAATAAAACCTATTAAAGACTATTTATTTTAACACTTCCTCTTACTGTAGAGCATACAAATTGTATGTACCAAGCTTGAAACAAATAAATTCAATTTGAGGATCCCTTAAGGTTTTTGTTAATACATATGCTAATTGATTATTTGAGCCAACAAAATTTGTGTAGATTTCCTTTGACAACTTTTCTCAAATAAAGTCACCATCAGTTTCAGTGTTTTTAATCCTCTCATGGAACATTGGATTCGAGGCCATGTGGAGGGTAGGCTGATTATCACAATTCATATTTATCAGCTGCATGTCACAAAAGTCTAATTCTTGTAAGAATTGTTTTACCCATACAAGCTCACATGTAAGGGAGGGCATTGCTTTATACTCAGCTTTGACAAATGATCGAGCAATAAGATTTTGTTAATTGCTTTTCGAAGAGATACCATTTCCTTCTGACAACACACAATATCCTATCATAAGCGTCTATCTATAAGAGAACTAATCCAATCAACATTACAATAGCCAACAATTTGGTTATTCCCTTTATCTTCATAAAGAAGTCCTTATTTTGGAGCCTTTTTGAGATATCTTAGAATACAAATGATAGCATTTGAGTGATCAATGTAAGGATTTTGCATGAATTGATTCACAACACCAACTGCAAAGGACATATCTGGTATAGTAATAGTGAGAATATGCTATTTTCTTAAGTAGTATGGATATATTGAGAATAATTTTTTATCGTAACAATATGCTATTTACAATTACACCAGTAAGAGTTAAAATAAACTATGCTTATATACATAAACAAGTTTCAATTGGAAATTATTGGAGCTTTAGAATACAAGATTGCCTTTAACTTTCTTATATCATAATGTATAATTTACTTAGGTAGAGACCTAGTGTTATATAATATAAATATAGAGATATATTTTCTTTTAAAGCTTTAGTTGAAGTTGCAAATGCACTAATTTATGTTCTTCTAGTACTTTGCCAATATCTATTAGGAATTTTAATGGATGGTGGCAGAAAGATGAAGTATTATCTTCCTCTATAAATTTGTGGCATGTAACGCTAAGGATGTTGATGATGGATTGTTATGTGGTGCAGATTATGATGAAGATAATATTTCAAACTTCATTGTTAGTTATGCTGTTAGCATTCCTAATTTAGCGGTGAGGAACTTCTCATGAATACTACTGGTAAATGTCCGTGATGCTGTATTATAATGTTATGTGCTTTTGCCTTTATTATATTTGTCATTTTTGGATATTGAAGCAGAACGATTGGCCCCAAAAGTGGGATACCAGATGACCACTATTCTAATATTATATATATATATATATATATATATATATTAAAGAATGAATTTATAAGCTTAAAAACATAAAACCTGTTAGAAAGTGAGTTTAAAGCCTAACTCAACTCCACAAAACTGGCTTGTAAGGTGAGGTTTGCACCCACTTATAAACTATGAATTGACCTTATCTCTAGTCGATGTGGGACTTCCAACACACCCCCTTCACGCCGAGGTATAGACATCTCGTGCGTGATTGTAGAAATTGGGTGGGCCGATAGCGGTCCGATAGCGGGTGGAATAGAAACAGAAATGCCCACTTAGAACTCGCTAGAATAGACTTTAACCTGGCTCTGATACCATGTTAGAAAGTGAGTTTAAAGCCTAACTCACTTATAAGGTGAGGTTTGCACCTACTTATAAACTTTGAATTGACCTTATCTCTAATCGATGTGGGACTTCCAACAAAATCTAAGTTATCAAATTATAATTTTGTAAGTCTTAATAATACTTGTTGAAATAAGAGGGACATAGGCTGAATCCCTAATCTGTTTTGAATTCATAGGGTTTTATATCTATAAATAGGAAAATCCAGAGATATGGACCTAAGCTCATTATATTTATCTCTCCCCCTTAAGTTGGTGCATATAAATCATATGTACCTAGCATTTTACAAATATAATTAGTTCTTAGTCCCTAGATAGGGTTTTAAGCAATTGTTTAAGCCAAATAAGCTCACAAATATTTGAGGTTATAACTCTATGTTCTCTTCCACACTAGATCTTGCTACAATATTCTCTTTGTTGTTCTTTCAAGAAATTAAATTATCACCAATGAAGACACTATATTCGGAAGTGGATCTCCTTTTAGAAAGAGAGCCTGCCCAATCAACATTTGAATAACATATAATTCTAGCATGACTATTTTATCCATATAAGAAACCTTTCTAGCAGAACCTTAGATGGATTTCAATATACAAATGACGACATTCCAATGATTTGTACATGGATAATTAAGAAATTAACACACCAATTGGAAAACAAATGTTAGGATGAGTAACTGTTAGATAATTAAATATTCTAACTAATCTTATATAATTCTTAGGATTTCAGAGTGGCTCCCCTTAATTAGGTAGAAGTTTGGCATTGGGATACATGGGTGTGTCACTAGGCTTTAAATTCATTGACCTAGTTTTCTCCAAAATATCCAATGCATAGTTTCTCTGAGAAATAAAAATTTCACTTTTCAATTGTGCTACCTTAGTCTCCAAGTAATATTTGAGTTTGCCAAGGTCTTTGGTTTGATAGTGGTCACAAAGGGTTGCTTTACCTTTGAGATGCCATAGCGACCTTTACATGTAATCACAATATCATCAACATATATTATTAGATAGATACACCCAATGCTTGAGTGACAAAAATATTGAATGATCTGCCTCACTTCGAGTTATACCGAATTGTTGAACTACAATGCTAAATTTGCTAAACCAAGCCCTAGGAGACTGCTTGAGGGCATATTAAAATATGCGGAGATGACTTTCCAATTTAAAAGACTCTCCTCCCTTAGCAACAAACTGGAGGTTGCTCAAATATTGATTTCTTCTCGTACATCATCATTTAGAAAAACATTTTGGACATTCAATTGATATAGAGGCCAATGTTGAAGAGTACCCATGACTATGAATAAGCGATCAAAGGTCATTTTTACAACTGGAGAAAAAGTGTCAACCTAGTCCAATAAAAAAATTTGTGTATAACCTTTGGTTACTAGGCGAGCTTTGAGACGATCAATAGTATCATGAAAACCAGCCTTGATAGCAAAAGTTCACCAATAACTAAGAACACATTTCCCAAAAGGTAAAGGAATGAGTTTCCAAGTTACACAATTTATAAGAGCACTTATTTCATCAAGCATGGTTTGACACCAACCAGGGCAAGTTAAGGTATCACCTACAAATTTTGGAATTGTAACATAGGAAATATGTGAAAGAAAATTATAAAGAGATAGAGATAACATATGATAACTCATAGCATTATTATGAAGAGAGGGCTTACGGGTAACTCATAGGCCAAGATAGTTGGAGTCAGTGTGGTGAACAAATGATGTACTTGTGTGTGCAATAGAAGTAGTGGAACTAGAATTTTGACTATCTTTGTGCCCTTTTGAGAAATTTGTTGAAGATAGTATAGGTTGTCCTAATCTTTGAGAATCTTTGAAGGTACACGTCACATGGCTTTCACTTAAATGCCTTAAAGGCTAGCTTAAGAGAGAGGTCTTTGCTTATACTACTTGATTGAACAACATTCGCCGAGTCAAAACATATGCTTGTTTCCAATTGGGACTAAATCTTCTCCTTTTACAACAAAAAAGGAACAATAACCCAAAAAAACATAAAATCACAATAAACATATATTAAAAACTGAATTTGAACTAAAAACTAATAGGAAGACATAATAAAATAAAAATAAGTGTACAAATGTAGGTCAAAACAAAGTAGGGTCAAAAGTTGTCTCCTATTTATAATTTTTTTTCTATCACAAGTTGTCTCCTTCCTATTGTTTTTTTATATCCTGTGTCTTCAATTACTGTTTCTAAAAATGTAAATGTAACATGTCTCTCACAAACTAGTTTCGTAAGTTTGAGTTAGATTGAAATCTAAATTTTAAGAAGTATATATTTTTTAAACTTCTGTGAAGAAAACTATAGTTTAAGTTTTAATAGTATGCTGTTTCATTCCTATCTCATGTAACTTATTTAGGAATCAGATCATACAAAAAATTATTTTTAAATTGTGTCCAACAAATTCCATAAAGTTAGAAGTCCTATAATAAGTCTGTAATGATGTGATGTGATTGATATTTCGTGTTGTTTGGTAATATTGAAGGTTGAGGACATCATGGCAAAAGTCAATAATTTGCATGAATTACTAGAAGTCTTGCTTTCATCGTCATCATATGAAAAGCTTATTTTGCATTGCTGTGGTTTAGACCAGGTATACCTCTTTTTATTCATCCTTATATTGTGGGCATCACTTAACTTGAAAAACGTTAATCATAAGGAAGGAAGAGAAGAAAAAAAAGATAGAACGAAAATGATAACCTGATCAGTATTGAGAGCCTTTTCAGAGCACTCAAACCTGTTTCAATGCATCCATCCCATGGGTAAACATATTCCAACACGAAATATGATCTGTTTATTATTCACTCCAATTGCACAAAATATTATTAAATCAATTTATTTACTAAAGTTTTCTCCANGTCATCATATGAAAAGCTTATTTTGCATTGCTGTGGTTTAGACCAGGTATACCTCTTTTTATTCATCCTTATATTGTGGGCATCACTTAACTTGAAAAACGTTAATCATAAGGAAGGAAGAGAAGAAAAAAAAGATAGAACGAAAATGATAACCTGATCAGTATTGAGAGCCTTTTCAGAGCACTCAAACCTGTTTCAATGCATCCATCCCATGGGTAAACATATTCCAACACGAAATATGATCTGTTTATTATTCACTCCAATTGCACAAAATATTATTAAATCAATTTATTTACTAAAGTTTTCTCCAATTCTCTTGAGAGCCTTTTCAGAGCACTCAACTTTTTCAATGCATCCATCCATGGCTAAACGTATTCCAAAATTGAACAAATATAAACAGTAATCTGTTTATTACTCACTCCAATTGCTCAAAATATTATTAAATCAATTTATTTACTAAAGTTTTCTCCAATTCTTTTTATTCTCTCCCACAATAATTGGTGTTTTTTTCTTCTTCCTTTTCAATCACTAAATTTTGGATCATAAACATCCTAATTAGATAGGGAAATAATTCAAAATACAAAGAAGAATAAATGCTCAGAGATCGTCTTAGATACTCTAAAATATTCTAAAATAATATTTTAGATGTTTTTATGTTTCTAACAGTATTGGTAATGCAAAAGTATTTTTATTTAGCCAACTAATTTTCTACATCTCTAATAGCATTCATCCTACTCAGAAAATATTTTAGATCTGACTATTAGAGAGAGTGAGATAACAAAGAAAATACTTCCTACACCAGAAAGCGATGGTGAGAGTTGTTCTGCCGGAATGGGGTCAGACTATGATCACCATGATAGCCAGAATGAGCATTTTATATTGGTTAAGAAAGTAGAACTGCTAGGTTTCATTGATGAGGAGAGTATCACAGGGGCTCAAGGGTTTTTGAAGTGGAGAACACTGTACACTGGTTCAATAGACCAAATTTAGTACGGAAGGATCAACTATACACTGGTTCAATAGATTGAAACAAACAGAAACCTCTTTCACATGGGAAATATTTAAAGTAACATTGATTGCAAGGTTTGGTGGAAGAAAGTTTGAAAATCCATGGGATGTTGGTTGAAATAGGAAGTGTAGAGGTCTTCATAGAGCTCATTTCTGTCCTCTCAAGCGAGGAAACTGCATGAAAGGCAATACTTTGGGTTATTCATATACAACAACTTAACTCGCAATTGCATTTTTATTAATTTTTTTGCCTTTCATTTTTTAATGCAGGTGGGCGATGCTCTAGATATTGTTGAACAAATGTGTGATGCTGGCTTTAACTTGTCAACTGACGTGTTACAATTCATATTACAAATCTGCGAGGAATCTTTTGAATATATTTGGGTATAATTCATCTTCCTTACATGTCATCTATTTCTTCTTTTTGATAATGTACCCAATGATCTATTCATCTCTTCTCACAACATAATAAAATTTTGGTAATAGATTCCCAAGCAGTCAATGTTGAGTATGCGTTAATTTGCAGAACTATTTTGTTTTTTAAGGTCCGTAGGTCTCAAAAGACAGACGATAATCCAAAACTACCTTGTGCAGACGTTTCGTTGACATTAGACATAGACATGTGCACTCAGAGGCATCATAGAAATTAATAGCTACTGAATGCTTTGAAACTAAACTAAGTATTTTTTTTTTTCAATTGATTGAAACTTGTCTTTCACAAGTAGTATGCATGAGTTTACAAATAATATTTGCTCTCTGTAAATTAAGCCCTTATAGAAATTATTTATCAAGCACATTTTGAATCATTTATACAATATGTCTAACATAATGAAACAATAAATCACCAAGGGCTCTAGTAACAAGTCATTATAAAATATTAGTAAACTAATTTCTTAAAACGATGTCTAGATGTACTATTGTATTGATGCTATTATTTTATTATATCATGATTATAAAATTTATATGTAGCAAACATGTAATGCATATGAATAATATAAAAAGAAACGATAATTAGAAATCAAACATCATTTTGAAGTGCATAATAATTATTTTCATGATGGTCTATTTTCATGATTTAACCCTTTACCTAGTAAGAAAACGGCTTTGTTTGCAATAAATCCATGCAAATGTCAATTTCTTTTAATTGAAATTTGGAACAGGTAAACTTCTTATTTGTTTTTCTTATAATTATCATTCTAGTGTGTTTAATATGCTCACTCACTTTATTTGCCTTCGAATTTGAGATGAATGATTTTTGATAGTTTTTTGTTTTTCTCCTTACAATAGCTGGGATTATTTCACTAATGTTGTTTTGGAATATGTTGAATAAAAGAATGTGAATAGTATGATGCTTATTTAAACTTCTTAATCTAAATAATGTAATCTGTTGAATATAGTGAAAAACTATATTTGAATTAATCTCCCTTGTGTAAAATACACACATAGGGTGCTCTATTTATAATAAAAGAAATATGGGCTAAGCCCAAAATACAAATGAGAAATAATAACAAACTAACTAAAAGATAAAATATATAATATATCTAACATAATCCATAAATGCACCCAAATAAAACTTGTAACTCATGAAAAGGCATGAGAGAGATAGGTCAAAGTGTATATGTAAATAGCTTAAGGGGACAACTCATGAACAAGCTAACTTGGCTAAACAGAACTGAAACTTAAGCTATGTAAATGGCATAGCTTGTATATAATATAAAATATAAAACATAATACAGATATATATATAGCAAGTGAGTAGCCATTGCGTAATTTTAAAATAATTGGTCATGGAGTCTCTAATACCACCTTACACTTTTCAACTTAAATGGCTTAAGATTCAAGGGTGAATTTGTAGTTAATTATAATGAAAATGGATTGTTCTGTCCACAACATTAGTTCCCAATTATCATAAAATTTTACCCTTTTTGTTGGTCAATTATCTAAAATGATGATGTTGGTTACAAATGAAGAACTAATGTTTTACAATACCTTTGTCAAAGACTAAGCGATATGCACAACATAAGATAGGAAAAAAAGGTTATTGGACAAGAAAATTATTCTTCATGCATAGATGGGAATTACATCATGGACTTCATTGTGCCCTTTTTGTATTTTCATGCAATTTCATTCTTAAAGTTAAGAAGTCTTCAATATTTTTATATTTCAGTAGAGCTTAATTCCTTTATGTGGAAATTGATTGTGTCATAATTTTTAATTGTTTTAAACCTTTATTCTTCATATTGTACTGATAACTTTCTTTTCTTCCATGCTTGACTAAAAAATCAAGGTACATCGAATCTGTTCAATAATATGTCGCTATCATTTGGAGTTGAATGGTGAAATATGCAGGTGCTTGGTACACTTTTGTGTGAGGATAAAAGATGTAAGTTGGATCTTTTATGTTTATATGGGTGCATGGGTATGTTGATTCAGAAGAAAATATAGTAATAAGCTTTAGTATGATATAAGTGTTTTGTTAGAAGTTATTAGAAGATTCTAGACATCTATTTGCAATCTTTACTTTAGGGTTAAAGTTCTCTATATATAGCGTCTGATGTGCAGTTTCAAATCAATGAATTATATGAAATCTCTTATTCAGATTAATCTTTTCAAGATGTCCGTTTCCTGAAACATGGTTTTTGTAAAGTCGTATAAAAGCTGAGGAAATTCTATTCCTTGGTGTATAGTTTTTATGTTAACAGAGTTATTGAATTACATTGTGAGAATTGATCTCATAATCAATTAACTTGAAATAGAGACGTGTTTGGGCGAATGTTTGCAGCATTGATTTTGGTTAAAGTTATTTCGAAGAGGTTTATATTTTAATTTTTTTACCTTGAAAGCTAGTATGTTTCAAAGTGTAAATTTTTCAACCTATCTCAAATGCACTTTTTATGGATTTTGTTCAATTCAAGGGGGTTTTGATAGTTCCCATTGTGAAGTCAAACATGCATGCTTGAAAGTTGTTGGATATTGTTAAGATAATATTAGATATTGTTAGTTACAATATGATGTGTATTTAGGCCTAGCCCATATTTTCCTATATGATTCTTCATTATAAATACATTACCTTAATGTATATTTTCTACACAAGGAGAATTAATCATATACCTAGTCTTTTATTATTTTCCCAAAAGTAAAACTGATGAACATTATTGGTTGAAATCACTTGAACAAATGCTCTAGGGTACAAATCAAGGTGTATTTTGTAACAGAGTGGGATTTTCTATATAAGTAGGAAGTTTGCTAACACTCACCAACTTGATTTTTGAAAGCAGTAAATGACTACAATTATTTAAAAATACGCCCAATGTGTAGCTTGTGGATGTACTTCTTCAAAAGAACAAGCCGGTGTATGCTAGCAAATGCATGTGTATATGTGCCTCTCTCTCCATTATATATATATATATATATATAGTTAAAAGAAATAGAAAGAAAAAAGAAAAGGAATCATAGTAGATAGGAATTCAAACTGTCGGTCTCATATTGGTGTCAACGTGTCAAGTATGCAGCAAACTTATTTTGTATTTACTTTCTTGATGCAGTTTGAAGGCGCATACAAAATAATTGGTGACTTAGAGGAAATGAATGTTAAACTTACGGCAAACATGTTCAATGCTATAATGGCAGGATATTTTCGAGAGGTGACATTCCTGAATTTTTAGGATAGGTTTATCAGTCAAACATGCAACCATTTTGCCAACTATATTTTAATGTTTGGCATTAATATCAATTGCAATATGTTGCTATTTTTATCTTTTTCAACAATAAGTGAAAATAGCCTTCTGACACACATGGACTTATTATCTTATATGCATATACTATTTTTGAACTTTTTTCTCTTCATTATTGAAAATAGTATTGAATTTGTTTCAAATAATGCAATCTTTTTTAACCATTTTGTTGTTTTGTAGAAGAATATCAGTGCTGGGTTAAGGGTCCTGAAACACATGCTAGGTGCCAATGTAGACCCTGATTCTCAGACTTTCAGCTATTTGATTAACAATTGTGAAACGGAAGAGGATATAATGAAGGTACCTTAAGCTTAATGTAATGATAGTAATACTTGGCTCGTAATTGAGCATAAACTCTTATATTGATGTCAATTTATTAATTTTTGTCTAGTGTTCTTGTGAAATGGTTGTAACTTTTGACATTGGCAGTCTCCAATGTTATTTGCCTTCTAAAAATTAAATGTTATATTCAACGATAGCTTACCTTTAGAATGAAATCATGAATCCATAACATGATAGTTTTGTCAGAAAACCACAAGAACTATCTCGGAAATGACTAGGAATACTGTTTGGGAAACACTGCCCTGCCCACTTGGAGCCCTTCTCATTAAATAGCCATTAGAAGTTTTCAATAGAGATCATTTGTTTTCCCTTAAATTTATCCTCAAAGAGAAAGAGTCCATCAACTTCCCTACCACTCGCAATCATTGATAGGAATGAGAAGAGGTGGATAGTTTACGAAAGAAGAAAGAAGACTAACTAGCTTTAGTGACCTAACTGTCTATAACAGTTAGGGAAGGGCGGGAAAAACAGTTGTATAAATAGTTGTTAGTTTGTTTGGAGGGGGGACTTTTGGAGACTTTAGTACTAACAGGCCTTTGACCTGTGGAAGGGGTTAGGCCCTTGTATCTTGAGTTTATAGACCATTCTTCTGTTAAACAATTTAAATCCTTTGTGAGTTTTTTCACATAAATAAGACTGTTGAGTAATTGTGGAACATGTAAAACATCCTTTAATACAATAGACGAGTCCAAAATTATATTCCCAGAGCCGCATATAAGTATATCTTGACCGTTCACAACTATAATAAGTTGTTCTCTATTTGTTTTACCATATGAGTTGAAGGACACATGAAAAGGTGGCATATGATCAGTTGCTCCTGAATCAAGAATTCAAATACCTTGAGACAAATGACCAACCGTATTGAGACAAATAAGGAAAATAAGGAAACAATATACTAAAAAATAATCTAGAAGATTCTACAAATATTTTCTCTAATTAGGAAGATTCTATAGATATTTTTTTTTTTAATTAAGAAGATTTTATAGATATTTTCTCTAATTACAACACATTTATTGAAAATGTATACTTTAGAGGGTATTTTTTTTATTGACATTGTTAGGATATTTATCCTATTTTATCATCATTATAGTGTGTCAAGGGTTACCCTATTTATCATGATTATATTGTGCCTAGGATTACCCTATTTATCACGATTATATTGTGTCTAGGGTTACCCTATTTATCATGTACTTGTATATCAATTTATTCTTATAAATAGAAGATTGTGATATTGATCAATTAAGCCCTCTAGAATTATTTTACAGTTTCAATCTTAAGTTGGTATCAGAGCGCGTCGATCCTGCTCTGGTTTCTGTCTCGTAATATATATCTGTCTGGCGCCACAGTTCTTCGTCGCCCGCCACCGTCCGCCGCTACCCGCCGCCGGCCACCATCCACCGCCGTCCACCGTCGTCCATCGCCGGCCACCGTCGCCGCCGGCCACTGTCGTCCATCACTGTCACAGTTTCCTTCATCTA